GCACTTTTCCCTTCAACAAGTGAAAATTCTGCTTTTAAATACAGTCTATGTATACCTATCACACTATTAAAATTATTTTCATTCATATACAAAACTATTTCTAGGATTGCATATATTTAGGATGAACGATTTATGCAGTCTTTGAAATAAAGCAAAATTTAATATGAAGAGGGGTTAACATTATATTCGATTTTAAGGGTTAATTGTGTGAGTTAAGGAAAATAATTATAATTTTTAATGTCATGGAATTTACCGTTAGCTTTTTGTGTTTATAGAAATTTGAAAAAGCTTGTGGTTTCAGAAATATAAGGTGTCAAAAATGCAAATTTTACAAATTTCAAGAGGCCATAACTTGAGAGGGGGTGGAGATGGAAAAAAATTTTATTCTAACGAAATGGACTATTTGTTAATGTCTAAAAGCCGCTAAAATTTCAAGCTTCTACAAGCTGAGGTCTAGCAGAAAAACGACATCAAAAATTTGGAAAGAAAAGACTTTAGATAACGGTAAATTTTAGACGGCCATTTTGTTTTTCTAAAGTTTGACTATAGTATACCGCGCTAGGGGAAGCAAGCCGCTGCCATTATGCTTTTGCAAAATTTCAAAAATGCTTACGGTTTCATTGCAACAAATAGTTAAAAAAGGCCAGTTTTAGGGTTTTGGGGGGAGATAGGTAAAAATTTTGTTCTACGGAAATAAGTTTCTAGTAAAGATCTATGAACGTACAAAATTTCAGCTTTCTATCTTCAAGGGTGTAGAAGTTTTGTAAACAGACACACGGACAGACGGACGGCCGGACGGACAAAGTGAAACTAATAAGCACTTTTTTTCAAAAATTTTTTGGAAAAGTGCTAAAAATAGAGTGATTAAAATAATTTGCAAGCATATACCATTAAAAATATATTTCTTAAACTTCCAATTATTATATTAACTCCCAATTCTTCTACTCTCAATTATTATATTAATTATTATTTTATAAATCTAGTATCTGAAGATTTCTGGAGAGCCTTCTTGTTAGCCAATAATGCATGACTTTTGCGTGGTTGACCAGATGGACCCCCTCTCTTATTACTATTACTACTACTACTACTACTACTACTACTACTACTACTATCAATATCATTTAAAATATATTCGAATGGTATACATAGAATATTTTATAAAAATTAATCAAAATATAATTACACTATTCAAAGATAATTTTAAAATACATACTTGAAATTTTTTCTAAATTTTCATAAATTTACTATATACATATGTAAACGATATTTGTATAACAATTATATATAATAATAATTTCTCTTCATCTCTTTCAAGTAAACACTATAAACTTGCTTTATGTTATCAAAAATGAAAATTATAAACACAAAATCATGAAAACTCTTAACTTTTACACTCATTAAATATATTTTAACAAAATTTTCACCCCATTTGATGTAATTCCAAGAATTCAGTAAAGTAAAATATTTACAAATATATATATATATACATAAAAAGTTTACATAAACATAATATGTTTATGTGTGCTCTACTATTGTACATAATTTTTAATAAACTCTTCCTAATTTGTGGGAAATGAAAATGTAATTGTTAATAAAAGGCAAGAGGATAATCATAAAACAAAAAACAAAAACAACAAATTACTTATACATATATATTTTATATTTATTTTTTATTTTCTTATGGGTAATCCAAAATGTTTTCCCTCAAAACACAAAAAAAAAAAAATAAATTGGAAGATCTGATGTGATCAGCACATAACCGACCGCAATGGATATTGTCTAAATTAGTGAAAGTATTTCAGAAAGATTATGAAAATGCATTTTAAACACTTCTTTACAATTTTATGGACACTAAAAACCGTTTAGTTAACATACCTACTCGTAGAAAAATGTGAATTTGGCTCATAGTAGAGCTTCATTTTGTGCCGTTCGATTTTGTGAGTAATAACCAAACCTCTTATATTAAATTTCAAAAAATTCCATCTATTCGTTCCGCAAATATGGTCAAATATGTAAAATTGACCACCGCAGATCAGTTTCCGAGCGCTGATCTTTCCAAATAATTTATAGATTCATTGTTTTAACACCTTAAATTCAAATATTAAATTTCAAGAAAATTGATTGATTATTTCTGTTTATATACCCAAAATTGTAAAAAACGGGCCGCAAACAGGTGTTGTTCCCGAGTTTTGATATATAACAAAAGTTGATCAATCCGTGCCATTGCCAAAATAAACTCACACATAAAATTTCATCAAAATTGGTTCAGTCCAACTTGAGATATACGCGTGCACACACAGACCGACAGGTTACTAAAAATAGTTTATTTACGCTTCCCTACTACGGAAAAGTGCGTTCCCACCGAAAAATCGACATCCGAAATTTGGTGCCATCACATGACCTACCTTATTTTATAAGAATTATTATTTACGTGCATGTGTATATGTTCGCGTATAATGTAAATTATGATATTATCCTAAACTCTAGAAATTAAAAATTTATAAATGCAAAAGAAAAATGTAAGAAATTTTAACAATTTCAAAAATTAAACAAAGAAATTCAAATATGAATGTGGAGGAAATTTTTGATATAAAAGTGTTAATCCCATTAGAATTAATTTTTAACAGCTATTATGTAAAAAAAAATTATATAACAAATAATATTTAATATGACAAGCAAAAGAATAATATTTGACAACAATATTTTGTGATCTACATAATATGTGCTCATGAATTGTCATTTTGACACTTTTGCGAGTCAAATCTTTAATAAACAATTTTTTTTTACCATTTTACAGGGTAAATATTTTACAATCCTTCATCATTTGACTTGCAAAACTTATTTTCATAAAAATATCGAACCATTGAAAACTCTCGGGTTTTCGAATTCGAGCTAAATATCTTCTTCATTGCCCATAGTGATATCTATAAGGGAAGATATACAAGTCAGAATCATATTTAACATTTAAAAATGTACAATATTAAAATGTTCATAAATATTAAAATTATATTTGTATCACAGTGTCAATACAAACTGGCAACAAATTTTGCATATCGAGTTTTCGGTGGGAACGCACTTCTCCATGGAAGGGAAGTGTAAATAAAATATTTTTAATAACCTGCCGGTCTGTCTGTGTGCGCACGCGTTTATCTCAAGTTCGGCATTTATTTTGACTACGGCACGAATTGATCAACTTTTGAGATATATCAGGGCTTGGGAACTGCACTTTATAGCGAGCCTGTTTTATATTTTTGATAATTTTCATGAAGATAATATTCAACAGATTTACTAGAAATTTCATATATAAGCTTCATTCGAACATCCGCGAAATCTCATAACTTTTGGAAGAAATCAGGCGTCAGCAACTGGACGTTTACTACGGGCCAAATATACATTTTTACGTATATAAAGAGAAGTAATCAACCGATTTCATTAAAATTTAATATTTGAATTCTTGGGAACCATATCTACGGAACAATTTGATGGAATTTCTTGCAATTTGATATTTGAGTTCTGGTTGTTAACGAAACTAACTCGTGAGCATTTTAGGGAATTTGGGTAGCCAAAAGCGAAAATATTAAGAGCAAAATTTACATTTTTGTAGGTATGTTAACTATAAGCTTACTAATGTACTAAAAATTGGAAACAAGTATTTAACAGGCATTTTTATAATGTTCTGTAACACATTCAATTAACTAGACAATACACATTGTGGTCGGTTATGTGCTGATCACATCAAATTATTTGTAAATATTTTTATATTATCGATACTGTGTATAAAAATATTTGGTTCTGCTGTCGCTGAATTTAAAACGTTTAAGTGTTTTATCGTACAAGTGACTAGTTCTATTTAAATTTTATTTTAGAAAGCAATAATCAACAATAATTATAATTCCTCTACATGTTAAAAATTTATAATTAAAATTATATATTTTTAAAACAACAGAATAAAAGTCCAGTGATCTATTTTTACTTTCTTATTTTAAATTAAGTATACTTTCTTATTTTACTTTCATTAAATATTTATTAATTTATTTCCAGAAATAAATTATAAACTTTAATACTCTTATAATTTTAAAATTATATTGTGAATGTGTAAATATTTACTTAACATTTTTTACAGTTAAAGAAAGCAAACATTTATTTAGCTTCGGTTTAACATTTTCAACTTTCATTTCATTTCTTTACATAAGTGTATTTTTATAAATTTACCAAACAATAAATTAATTATCAATATTTATTTGAAATATATTCAACATTTAATTTTAAAAAAATATTATTATTAATTATTTTCTTTATATAAAAGTGTAATAAATAGTTAATTTTTGTAAATTTATAATTCAGTTAACAATTGGTTTTTTTAGCACAAAGCAGCCGTATACCATTTAATTATTTTATTAAAATGAGGATCACAACTTTATTATTGTTTCTTTTTTGTTTTTATTATAAGGTAAAATTTTAAATATTAAAAATTAAATAATTAATTTAAATTAAAATTCATTTGTATATACAATTTTAGATGAAATTTATTCAATGCAGAGAAATAAATCTTTTTACAAATTTATTATCAAATTCTAATGCAGACATTTCACCAACAATAAATTTATTAAATGGTTATTCATCTGGCCCTGATAAATTATTTTGTAATCAAGTTATAAATAAAATAAGTAATCAAAGAAATTCAGATACAAAAAGTTTAATAGAAAATGTTCTTACATCAATACACCAAGAACAAAATTCAAATTTACAAATTAGTGGACAATTATGGAGTGATTTAAATAATTTAGTTCCAAATATAAAACCACCATGGATTTCATTAAATGGATTTGATACAAGTATTACTTATTATTATAATGGTATACAGGTATATGGTGGACCAATTGATGTAATATGTTTAACAAGTTGTGATCCATTTTGTGTTTGGGTTGGTGATCTTGGACAATAATTACATATAGAAAAAGTGAATTGTGATAATATAAAAAAATTAAATGGCATTTCAATTAAAAAATGAAATTAAAATGAATATTTTATTATTTATATAAAACATAAAATATAACAACTATAATTAATATTAAAAATCGATAAATTTATAATTCAAACATTTCAGTAGAAGTACCAGCATTTAACATAATTATTTCAGGTGTAGTTGGTGCACCAAGATGATACCATTTCTTTTCAATACCAGCATCTTTACGAGCTGAATCTAAAGCATGTCGAATTGCAAATACTATTGAAACAGATAAAGCAATAGCTGGTTCACCAGTTGCTAAAAACATAAATAATATTAAATTTTATATATAAAAAATGTTATCAATTAAATTATCATACTTTTTGATCGCAAAAATCCAGCTGGATTTGGTGATTTTTGTACTAAATTTATACGAAAATCTACTGGAATATCTTTAACACCCGGTGGTTTATAATTCCATGTTCGTGTTGTTAATAATTCTCCGGTTTCTCTATTAACAACTAATAATTCAGTTAACCAATAACCTAAACCCATTATAAAAGCACCCTCAATTTGTCCTATATCAATTAATGGACTTAAACTTTCACCTGTATCTTCTAAAATATCAACACGATTTACTAAAACATTTCCAGTTAAAATATCAATTTCAACTTCTGATAATGATATTCCCCAAACATCATAATCTTTTAAATCTCCTGGCTTAAAAATACCTGAAGCAGTTAAATCAATATTTTTTAATTGGGCGGCATGAATTAATTCTTCCCAAGTACTATTTTTCATTGTATCTTTAATTGGTTTTAATCGTTCTAAAATTGTTTCACAAGCTCTTTGTGTTGCCTATGTAGAAGATAATATTTTTTTTTTTTTTAATTTTAATTAACTTTTTTTTTTTTTTGTAAAAAACTTACTAGACAAGCGCTTTCACTACCAACACCACCACCTGTAACCACATTATTTGGCGATGTAAATGTAGAACTCGGTTCTATTTTGATTTTTTCAATTGGAATACCCAAAGTAAAGGCAGCTACTTGAACAACTTTTGTATTTACACCTTGTCCCATTTCAATGCATCCATGACTAATTGCTACAGTTCCATCAGAATGAAAAACGGAAACAGTAGCATTAATATTTCCAAAATATTCTATTGGATATTTCATTATAGCAATTCCAAGACCTTTCTTTCTCCATCTATTCTCCTTATTGAATTTTTCAATATCATTTTTACGCTGCTTATATTCGGTAGATTTAAGAAATTCTGGTAATAATTTGGCCATTTTTTCCGTTTTTGTTAAATTTTCTAAACGTACATCAACTGGATCTTTATTAGTTTCAAAAGCAATATGTTCAATTATAGTTTCAATCATTGCAATTCCTTCAATAGCACCCGGACCTCTACACCATGTTGTACTTGGAGCATCTGTTTTAACAACTTTACCATCAATTTTCCAATTTTTATCAACTTGATAACAGTTTTTAGTGCATGCTATCGATAAAATAGGTATTGGATTTTCATTAGCTGTGCATCCGCCATCTTCATAAAATATATTCTTTAAAGCCAATATTTTACCGGCATCATTGAATTCAACTTCATAATCAGAATGACATGAATAACGTTTTCCCATACAACTCATCATAGATTCAATTGTTTGTATAAATCTTGTTGGACGATTTAATTTATGTGCAACTAAAGCACAAGCTGCTGCAACTTGACAACTTCTAGATATTTTTGCACCATAACCGCCACCAACTCGACGCACCTGCATTTTAATTGAATTTTGTTGAACATTTAAAGCTTTTGCGATTACAACTTGTGTAAGATCCATCCATTGACTAGCACAATATACTTCCATACCATCTTCAATTGGAATACATACAGTTGTTTGCGGTTCCATTGTATAATGATATTGACTATCAATATCTAAATATCCAGTTATTTTTTTGTTCTTATTAAAATCTGTACCAGATAATGAAGTCTCTTCACCTATTGAAAGGCAATCAACAATTCGCTCATTTGCTGCATTTTTAAAAACATCCTTCATTGTTGGTAAAACTTTTTTATTGCTAACTTTTTCGTATATAACCTTAACTAATTTAGCTGCTTTTTCAGCTAATTTAGTGCTACTAGCAGCTATAACACCAACTGGTTGACTAAAATATGCAACAACCGATGAACAAAATATTTCTTCAGCATCAGGGAATAAAAATGGCATCGTTTCTGAATCTATAAAATTATTTACACCTGGTATATCTTTTGCTGAATAAAATGCTTCAACGCCATCAAGTTTAAGAGCATCGCTAGCATCAATACCAACTACTTTTGAATCTGCTTTTGTTGCAAATACAAAAGCACAATATAATTCATCTTTTCTTAATGGTAAATCATTCATATAGAATGCTTCTCCAGCACATTGTACTAAAGCTTCAATTTTTGGAATTGCTTTTGTTAAGGGATAATTTTTTTCTATTGTTTCATAAGTTTGTTTACCACTTGATAATGGTCTATGCAATATTTCAGAACCTGTTTTATATAAAGGATTCATTTTTGCAGTAGGTACATTTGATAAAATACATTTATAAAATAATCCACAAGCTAATAATTGACGATATTCTGGGGATGCATCTGGTAAAATCCAATCAGGTTTAAGTTCATTTTTAAGAATTTTCATTGTTTCTTTAATCACTTTTGCATCAGATAAATCTTTTCCATTTAAAAATTCTTCTGTATTTTTTGCATGTACAAAATTTTCAGTTATCCCACCAAAACAAATTCGAGCTGATTTCACTATTTTATTAGTTGCCGGTGGTTTATTATCATATTGTATAAGAAAACTTCCATTTACATAAGCATGAGCATTTTGTGCTCTCGGCATTATCTATAAAATAATTATATATAAAGGTATGTAATTTTAAATTTACATATAAAAATTCATTAACTTCTACTTTATATGAATTAAATGAGAACTCATTAGCTGAATATCCGGGTAATACAAGTTCTTTTAATATTTTCTTTCTCATATCAGTTTTAATAAAATCTAGTACACTCATAGTTTGAGTTTTTACTGGATCTTCTAAAATAATTACTTGAGCATTTAGTGCTTCAAATGTTAAAAAAATATCTGATGGAAATTCATTGTTAGCATTTTTCATCATTAAATTTCCACCTAATGTTCCCATCTGAAATTTAAAATATGTAATTAGAATTTAATTATTCTATCATGAATTAAATTTTTAAAGTAATTTATTTTTTAACAATTCAAATAAAATTAATTGAAATTATAAAAGTCATTATGACTTGTAGTATTTTAAGTATTTTTTTATTTCAAAGTATTCGCGCTTAAAACTTAATGTACCATGTTAAAATTTTGAAATGTGCACATATGTATGTAAATAAAAATGAAGCTATTTATAGTACAGTAAGAGTATGATATATAATAAATAATTACTTAATAATATTATGGCCGTACTTAATGAGAATTAATAATGCAATTGAAATTTTTATATTGCCACATAACAATATTTATCATGCAAAAATCAGTATACCTAATTATATTAACTACATTTTGCAAATGCATAAGCATATTCTGTACTTACATTTCGTACAGGAACATTTGCAATAATATCAAAATGTTTCCATAATACACTACAATATTCAAAATTTTTTTGTTTAGATGCTTTATTAAAAATATCCATAGCTTCTGTTAAATTAACACAAGCACCCAAACGTATTTCATTTTCTTTAATTTCACTTGAATGCAAATCCATTATTTTATTTAAATCAATAAATATTTTTATATCATCTGGCCTTCTATAAACACCATGTCCAGTATTACCAGCAACTAACATATATTTTTCATTATTTGTTATATCATCGAAAGCTTTAAATATATCATCATAATTTTTTGCTAAATACCATTTAGCATCATCATTAGCCCGATCATATTCAATAAATTTCATTTCATTTCGTTTATAACATTTTCCATTTTGAGTACATTGTAAACCAGTTTTTGAACATATATTTTTTATTTTATATGAATCTTCAATATCAATATTATTTTTACATAAATCATAATCTTTAGCAAATGATTTCATTGCATCTAATATTGTTCTATAACCGGTACAACGGCATATATTACCACCAAATGAATTTTCAATCATTTCCATTGTTATATTATCATTACCAATTGATTCAATTAAACCGTACATATTCATTACCATAGCTGGTGAACAATAACCACATTGTGTACCATTTGTTTGGGCTAATCTTTCTTGTATTGGATGATAACCAATATTTCGATTACCAATACCTTCAATTGTTATAACATCTAATCCATCAATTGTATTTAATAATGTTAAACACTATAAAAAAAAATTTTTTTTTTTTTCTCCCAAAAATTATTAATTTAATTAGAAAAATAATAAATGTAATTATCTTACAGAATTTGTAGCATATGTACGAATATTTCGAGTAGCTGGATGTGGTCCTTTAAGTACACAAATACAAGCACCACAACCAGCTTCCAAACACATAAATTTAGTTCCGGTTAAACCAGCATGTTGACGAATAAATTCATTTAATGTAATATCAACTGGATAATCCTTGAGTTCAACTAAAATTGAAATTTTTGTTTTTTTTTGCAATAAATTAAAATTTATTTATTATTTTGCTTCAATATTTTTAAATATTTACTTGTATAAGGTTTAGAATTAATTGTAAAGCTTATAGACATTTTATGTGGGTCACACAATACAAATTTATTTTAAAATATACGAGCTTTATTTGTGAAAGGATTTTCTAATTTTTTTGTGCTTTATTCGAAAAAATTTTTCCGATTAAATTTAATTTTTAAACCGTTTGAATCGAGTACACTTTAATGACTAAATTTTGTTGAAAATATTCAGTTAGTTGAATTTGAAAACAAAAAAAGAAAACAGCAAAGTCATTAAGTCTTTTTTTTTCGTGACTTAATGATGACAGTATTTTAGTTTTTTTTTTCAAAATTTACAGCATCTACAGAATTTTTTTTAATTCGCGCTCTTTTATTATTAAAAAGTAAAAAAAAAATTAAAAATAAACAAATATTTTTTATAAATCATGAATTCACACGCATTTATTAAATATTTTATGTATGTATGTACAATATACAATTTATTATTACTTACATATAAGAGAAAGGATTAATTAATTATGCATGCTATTATTAAGATATATGTGCATATATTAAATAACTCTCATACAATATACAAAAATAAAATGCGCATAATTGAATTTCCATTAAAAATAATTTTAAAATCAGGTCAAAAGACCAAATTAAATAGTTGTCATTTAATTCTAATAAATTTGTAAGGAATTATTCGAAATCGAGGGAATTTTAATTTTTTTTTTTTTTTTTTGAGTTTTTATTAACAAATTAGTAAATTATTTTATATTCTTGTTCAGGAACGAATTCTGATTATACAAGACTATAATTCTCTTGAAATTACCCAAAACCCGATATCAGGAAATTTGTAAATTCCGATAAGGTAAATATCAGGTTCTGCAACTTGTTTAGTTCGAATTATATCATTATGATTTCAACAACTTTTAATATTCTTAATTTCTTAATTTGCTCATCGAGTGCTAGTAAAGCAAATATTGACTCTTTAGCATTTCAATTTTGTCACTAACTCAAGTTGACCAAAAAAAAAAAATGGTTTATCGGGTTTTGACAAAATATTTCCAGAGAATTACAATTAACACTTCTATGATAATTAATCGAAACAAAAAACAAATATAAATAGAAACTGGTATACAAACAAAAAATGAAAAATTCCTGTAATCTAATAAAAAATTTATTGTGTCATAAAATCAGCTGAATCTACCGTTAGAAAATTAAAAGTTGGTACTCAAGAATCTCAAAGTTTTAAAATAACAAATATTTTAAAAATTTCAGTTTTAGAAATATTGTATTTTTTTATAAATTTCACAAGAATTCAGGATATTTTAAATTAATCACTTAATTTAAACTTTAAAAATTTAAGCAAGTTTAACAAAACTGTTAAATTCCGTAGCATATAAGTACTAAAATTTTCTAAAAAGTTATATAGGAAATAGAAATTTATTAATTACGATATTAAATTTTATTATGGACACAAATCAATTGCGTAAATTGGTTTATGTATACACTAATAATATTGAAATTTTTTTGGTTAATAACACTGTTATTTGTTTGGTTTGTTGAGAGGACGGGGCCAGTAAGACAGGTGTTAGTCGCGTCGCATCCTAATCCACAAATTGTAATCCGATATTCAATTACAGATCGCTTATCTAAACCACGGGATTCTTTTGAACAATTTGTCTATGTTTCCGATATTAGTATAGAAGTATTGAGCAAACTGAAACAAAATAAGATTATTCTTAAAATATAATGTTCAAAGTGTAGGAATCAGAAATTAATCTTTTGTTATAAAACCGTTTCCTATACATATAAAAAAGCTTAAACAATCAAATAAGTTAGTTTACGAGTATTATAAACGTTTATGCTTTTAAACAATTCCTTATGAAATTATGCTACTATATAAAGTTTAATTTTTTAATATAAGTTTCTAAAACTATTATATAAACTAATCACTTACTCAGAATACTGAAATATTCAATTAAGAAAATTTAATTTTCATATTATTAGTATTCCAAACTGAATTATAAGTTTTTAATATCTTTAAAATTTATCGCTTGAATCTGAGATCGAAAATTTCACATTATTTTATTATGTAATTTAAATACACAATGAATGTATGCATAAGTGTGTGTATACATACGCGTACATATGCCTTAAGTACCTAATTATAAGTTATAACAACATTTTGTTGTCTTTTATATTCCCAAATATACTCAGCATAATTTATGGTTTCGAAATTATAGCAAAAGCAAAAAAAAAATAAAAAAATTTTTTTTTTGTCTAAAGTTTTTTGAATTGGTCACCGTGAAATTTTAATTTGTGAATTTTTTTTATATGCGTTTACCTAAAACGGCGTAATTCAGAATGGTTTGAATTCACTGTCATCTTCAACCTCTATTTTTTGTTTGTTTGCAGCTCGACTCATAAATTTAAAACCTTTTTCGGCAAAAGCTGGTTTTAAATTTTTTTTTTTTTTATCTATTCATTTTAATCTTTGGATCTTTTTAAATTTATTTTTATAATATTTTATAATATAAGAATTAGAAAATTTTAAAGTTTTAAGTTTATTTATAATTGAAAGCATTAAAAACAGCTTTTTTTTATATTAAAATTTTTTGCGAATATGCGCTGCGCGCGCCGGCTTTTATCTGTATTACCTTTGTAGAATTTTAAATATGTAGCCAACTACAAAAAGTAATTAACATAAATTAATTATTTTTATTTTATTTACTGTGTATATTAATAAATTTAAATTTAAAATAAATATTAAATTTATTATTGTAATTTTGCATTTTTTTATAATCAAGAGTCTTGTCTAGGTTTATGCTACTTAGTACCCGAAAATAATGACAAAATGATAAAATTTTAAAGATTTTTTTGTTACCAAGCAAAAATTTTTATTTAATATTAGAAAGAAGAGCTGCTTATGTGGGTCTGATAATCAATGAGTCAAAGACGAAATACATGCTAATGACACGAAATGATACAAGAAGGTACTCTCAAAACATATATGAAACTATTAGCAATTACAAAACTTTAAAGATGTAAGAAGTTTTACATACCTGGCTGCCTTAATAAATTATTACAAAAATTATATGCACATAGCAATTAATGAGAGAATTCAAGCATCACAAAAATGCTATTATACATTCAAACGACTAATCCAGGCTAATAGCCAAGTCAATTAAATTTCGAATGTACAAGACATTAATTCAACCTGTACTAACATATAGAAAAATGAACCATGACAACAATTGACGAGGAATGAAGTTAAAAATATTTCAAAAAAAAAAAATTGCTCTGAAAAATATTTGGTTCAAAATTAAATGAAAATGGGGAATATGAGATAAGATCAAATCGGGAGCTAGAAGAACTTATTGAGATGGATAGGACACGTATTTCGAATGCCAGAACATCGAGCGCAGAAAAGAATCCTAGATGCAAGACCATATAACACAAGGGCGAGAGGCAGGTTTAGATGGCTCAATTGAGTTTGACGGAAAATTGTGAACGAGGTTAAGGCTCACCTGGAACTGTAGAACCAAAAGATGATGATGAATTTTTATTTTTACTTTATAATGTTCTATAATTATATGAAGTTGTATGATAAATACATGAATGTAATTATTATCATAACAGTAGATATATAGTTATATAATTTCCTGTATTATTAATTCTTTTACAAAAACTAAAATTTTATAATTAAAATTACATTGTAACCTTATAATTAACAGAAATGATTTTCGATAAAAAAAAAAATATAGGTACAAAGTAGACGATCATTAATGAATGCATGTATGTATGAAGAATAATTACCATTTTTTTTTTTTGTGAATGTAATTATTATTTTTTCGCTATTTAGAAAATAAAATTGAAAATATAAAATTATAATAATGATTCAAGTCAAGTAATATGCAGTTAAAAAGCTTTATTTTAAGAATAGCCCATTTTTTTTTTCTTCTGTCTATCATTGTGCATCCATCAAATAAGTAAATAATTTTAACATACATACATACATGCATGTTAGTACTAATTCACAGAATGTATAAATAACGAGTTTTATTACAAGAATAATTATTTTTTCTCTTTCAACTGGGAATTAAATAAAGCTATTATACATACTAGTATAATAATTACATAATGTGAATATAATGTGAATATAAACAGACTACTTTGTAAAAATGTTAGTTATGACTTGATGTAATTATTATTCGACTTTCGAATTACTTTTAGATCATTTTTTCAACAAAGTGTTAGAGTATATAAAAGTATACACCGACTTCTGTTCAATTAAATGAACGGCTCCTATTCAATTAATTGACTTGAAATTTGTTTTAGATCAGACAGATTATAATAATATTAAACTTTAAGAAAGACAACTCCTATAGACAATACTAATATTTTTATTGTTATTTAAAAAATTTTTAACAATTTTAGCTTTTTTAATAAAGTAGCTAAATTTTTGCTTTTTTGACAAGGTAAGAACACATTCAAAATTTTAAATTTTCTTTTTAGGACAAGGCTTTCCAATTCTCAATATTTTAATTAAAGCTATTATTGTCCTAAATATAATTAATTCAAGTTTCCCTAGACTTACGACTCGCTAATCCCAAGTTCAACGAAAATGATAGAATAGATTTATTGATCGAAGTTGATATATTTGGTCAAATAGTCGTGGAAGGTTTAATTAAAGATGGAATTGTTTTTCTAATTGCCCAAAATACGGTGTTAGAAACTCTCCGGCGAAATGACTTTTAAACAGATTCACGGCATCTCGGATGCATCCATAAAAGCATATGACACAGCTGTTTACGTTTGCATAATTAATAACGATGGGAAAAAAATGTGTAGTTTGAAAATAAGGATATTGTAAATGCTTACGTCTCTGCCAGGAAATCACCAAATGAATCAGGTGACCAAAATGAGATCGTAGTTGAGTTTTCGAATACGGAAATCAATAAAATTTTGCAAGCGATAAGAAAGAAAAAACTAACAATAGATATATTTGGTAAAACAAAATCTTATTATGTAAACAACGGTAGTAATAGAAATACCATACAACTGCTTTTCGATAATGAAAGAACCATTAAGTATTTTGGTTCATTATTTAAAAAAGCTAAAAATCCAAAGAGAGATAAAAAGATTGCGTTTGGGTTAAGAATGGTAAACTGCTCATTAGAAAAACATTAACGTCTAA